TGGAGAATGATGTATGCTATTTTTTTACAGGCAAACAAAAACAAGCACCAACAAAGAATGGGCCTCCTGCAAAGAAGAAAAAATAAGATACCTAGAAGCTTCATCTCTTCAGAAAGTTAATTGATGTGATATATACATTATAACAATCTTCCCTTAAATTATGGAAGATTGTTTTGTGTTTAGAATACTCTTACCAAAAATTAAAAGATCTGTTCTTAAGTGGTTTCTTTTTCTGCAGATTGCTGATGAAATCAAAATATAGATTAAGGTGACGTACGATTTAAGAAATAGGGTATGGTAGGGTATTTTTGAACAATTAGGGTGACTTCAATTATAACCCATGTAATGGGTTGCAGAATAAATGTGCTTTGTGAAATTGGTAAATGTATTACTGCTATTCTCTAAACAGGGACGTGCAGGTGTTGACCCAAATTACAGTAAAGTACTTATTGATGTATTCTACTCATTGTACAAACTGAGCCTCAGGGTTTCATGATCACTTTGTTTATTTATGTGTTACTGTATTCTGTTATGCTTTGTACTTTTGGTTATTTCTAGTAAAATATTTGTTAAAGAGTGAATTTTATTGTCCTTGTGAAAATTGCTGTAGAATAACGTTTTTAATGTTTATCCATTCGATACTTTTTCAGGAAAACAATGCGAGCCTTAAGAGCAGTGTAAGATATACCATCCTCGTTAAATACAGGCATAGTGATGTAAAGCCATAACCCACACTATGACTTCATATAAAGGTTTACACCTTTTCTTAATCATGTGGGGGATCCCCAGGACCTCTGTTAAGTATAAATATCTGATAATATATGAAAATAAAACCTAATTTAAAGAAGTTATACACACTTCTCTACCTCTCTGTTAAAGAAGTGACATTTTACAATGAAACTCCTAATCATGTGGGGGATCCCCAGGACCTCTGTTAAGTATAAATATCTAATTTAAATAAGACATTCATTTTGCAGCTGGGACTTTTTTTAGGACTTTGATTTTCCTTCGTTGGCTAGAAATGGTCCTGGCAGTTTGTCAGCCCTGTTGAGTCCAGGCAGAGAGGAGTAGGATGAAAGAAATTGAGACCACAACGGAAAATAAAAGAAAAAAAGATTATGGAGAGTGATTGAAGAGGGAGGATACAGAATAAGAATAACAGGAAAGAGAGGTAATTTATCAGAGAGGTGGTAGAGGACAAAGGAAATGAGAGAAAGTGAGGAAAAAGAATGCCTCCATTAGAATAATGATTGTGCGTAAAATAAAGGAAAATTGTGATTAATATGTTTTTATTTACAATTTCACTGTTATCTTTTCTCAATATTTTTACAGATAATGCCACAATTCCTTTGTATCCATCATGCACAATTGTGGAAGTCCTGACTAACTCGATTAGCATGGATTTTGTTAATATTATTTTTAAAAAAGAAACTGCCAAGAAACCAACCATACATTGACTTAGATGAAAGTGAAATTCAATCAAGTTATTTTCTATGATAGATTTCTTTTACATTTTTTCTGTTTAATGCTTCATAAAGACCGAGTTTGACTATTTCAGGTCTTTCCCATCCCCTATGTTACATTTTCTTAATCAACCTTACTTACATTATATATTATAACTCGAGACATGGATCCATAAGGTTAAAGAAATAATTGGAGCATCGAGAATGCAAATCTACTGAAGAAACGTAAGAAAAGGACCCAAATATTAAGAAAAGGTATTGTTTTCTCTAAGGCCACACACTGCTGATTAAAAATACTGGATGGGTTATTAGTATCCCATTATTCTCAAGGGAAAGGAAGTCAGCTTGGGAAGAATCGCATACATTTGATCAGGGAGACTTTCTAATTGACTATTAGTTGCCCCACATCTCCGGGAAAACTGGTGTGTTTCACAGTGGAGTCGAATATTCTGTTACTTTTTTCCTACCAAAATCACATTTCTCGTTGCAAATGTGCGATAATTCAACGTAAATGAAATATGCCTTAATCTTACAAACAACACGGTTACTTAATAAACGGATCAACATACTTCTCTCAGTTGCACATGTTTCCAACGTTTTAGTGTAGTTTCCTGGATAACAAAAAAAGGTCTAGAACTTAACATGCATGTGTAATGTTCTCGTGTTTACCAGCTGTGCTCTTCCAAGGAGATGTATTGTGTTACTACCAAGTTCAGCTAATGTACTAACTATTAAACTAAAATGCCATTTCAAGTTGATGTGTTTGAAAAGAACATTTCGGTTACTTTATTCTCAAATTCTCAAATTCTTAACTAGAACAAAGATGATCCAATAGATATATTGCGTTTATGCGCCTTCATTCATCTTGTTATGTACATTAGGTTGCCAGCCATCACTGTAGTTGCACATGTTTCCAACGTTTTAGTGTAGTTTCCTGGATAACTAAAAACAAGGCCATCATTCATACATAATACTACAAAACTTCACATAAATAAAGATGGGGAATACTTTAATTACAAATCCATGAATCCAATAAATAAAAAAACAATATCCATCTGAGCATCGAAGTGGTCATTCCCATCTTAACTGAGCTTCCTTTCGCAAACGAAGAACTTCTTGTGCGAGCAGCTGTCGGCGCCTGCACGGAACCTCCACAGGCTATGCAGGAACATACAGCGCTCGTCGTCGTCCAGGGCATCCCCAGGCTCTCCGCGGCCCCAGAAGTCCACCTGCATGAGCACAGGCACGCCGGTGACCCAGTTCCACGTGTCCGAGTCGTCCAGCTGGGCGCCTATCCAAAATCCCCAGCGGCCTGGATTCGAATGGACAGAGGCTGAGAGGGAAAGTTAGTGAGACGGGGTTCTGCTGTTGGTGGAAGGCGAGTACGGCGGGGCGGACGGCCTCCCGCTTCCTACTCTACCTGGACCTATTCGATATGTATGTGCAAGTATGCATGTAGGTATGAGTATATGTATATTTATGTGTTATATGTATATATATATATATATATATATATATATATATATATATATATATATATATATATATATATATATGTGTGTTATCTATCTATCTACCAATCTAACCAACTAAATAACAAGATATATCCAAAAGTCTGTCTGTCTAGCTCACTAGAAATGGGAAAAAACATATCTAAAGCAACTTTTGTATCTAGTGTTGCCTTTTGTCTGTATTTATTCCCGCCTTTTAGTCTGTCTGCCCCCCCCCCCTCTCTCTCTCTCTCTCTCTCTCTCTCTCTCTCTCTCTCTCTCTCTCTCTCTCTCTCTCTCTCTCTCTCTCTCTCTCTCTCTCTCTCTCTCTCTCTCTCTCTCTCTCTCTCTGTCTCTCTCTCTCTCTTCTCTTCTCTTTCTTTCTTTCTTTCTTTCTTTCTTTCTTTCTTTCTTTCTTTCTTTCTTTCTTTCTTTCTTTCTTTCTTTCTTTCTTTCTTTCTTTCTTTCTTTCTTTCTTTTCTTTCTTTCTTTCTTTCTTTCTCTCTCTCTCTCTCTCTCTCTCTCTCTCTCTCTCTCTCTCTCTCTCTCTCTCTCTTTCTCTTTCTCTTCTCTTCTCTTTCTCTCTCTTTCTCCTTCTCTCTCTCTCTTTCTCTCCCTTTCTCTCTCTGTCTCTCTCCCTTTCTCTCTCTGTCTCTCTCTCTTTCTCTCTCTCTGTCCCTCCCTCCATTCCTCTCTCCTCCCCTCCCCTCCCTTTCCCTCCTTTCATTTCCCCCTTCCTCCCCCCTTTCCCCTGCCTTTCCCCCCCCTGTCACCCCCATCCCCCCCCCCTCGTAGACCCAACGGAACCTAGAATCCGGCATCACTTACCACTGAAAGTTTCATCGAGAAAGAGCGCCAAATCGTACAGGTCGAAGGGATTGGCCAGATCACCGTCGATGTCCCTTGATGGAGGGGGAAAAAAGGAGAGAGTATATATTCATCTGTATATCTATCGATCGATCTATATATTTATGTATGAATGTATGTATGTAAATATGTATGTATGTATATCTATATATCTATATCTATATAAATATAATATATATATATATATATATATATATATGTAAGTATATCTATCTATCTATCTATCTATCTATCTATCTATCTATATATATATATATATATGTGTGTGTGTGTGTGTGTGTGTGTGTGTGTGTGTGTGTGTGTGTGTGTGTGTGTGTGTGTGTGTGTGTGTGTGTGTGTGTGTGTGTGTGTGTGTGTGTGTGTGTGTGTGTGTGTGTGTGTGCATGGATACACACACCCATCAGTCATTAGAAAGCCAACCCTTCCAACCCGCATGAAACAGCTGTTCCTACGAACTCCTGCGCGCGCTCTCTCACCTGCAGTCGTCCCGAGCTTCCGCCCACGTCTTCCTGACATCCGAATGCACGGTGAAGCATCCGACGCCCATCTTCGTGTACGGGTGAGGACAGTCGAAGTTCTCTGGAAGGGTGTTTGATGTGGTTATATATTTCGAGAGAGAGAGAGAGAGAGGAGAGACGAGAGAGAGAGAGAGAGGAGAGAGAGAGAGAGAGAGAGAGAGAGAGAGAGAGAGATGAGAGTGAGAGAGGATTAGAGGAGAGAGAGAGAGAGAGACGAGAAGAGAGAGAGAGGAGAGAGAGAGAGAGAGAGACGAGAGAGAGAGAAGAGGAGAGAGAAGAGAGAGAGAGGAGAAAGAGAGAGAGAGAGAGAAGAGAGAAGAGAGAGAAGAGCCATGCCGTCAAACACCAAAGATTCGAAACACAAACAAACGCATATAAACGATATAAATCAAGCCGACATGCATCTCCTTTCCAGCAATCTTCCCCCAACTACCTGACAGAATTTGGGGTCTGATGGTGACTTCGGCGGGTTCCGAGTCCTCCACTTGACCCTTGTTCTTCCTGATGGTGACGAGCGACCTTGTGTGGCGGTTCACTACCCTCTCGAGTGCTTGCATGCTGCTCTGCACGCGTCGGATGACCTTCCCTGGGGGTGCACGCCATGGGGATTTTTTAGTACCTCCATAAACATGAAATAGGGCTCAGCTGTTGATATATCAGCT